CACGTTTTCAACTACGAAATTTGAATAATTCCAAATATTTCGAATTTTCACCACGAGCACGATATGCCTGCTGGTGACTTCCAACAAGATTGTGCTCCTCCACATTTTCGTGTCGATGTAAGAAATTGATAATATTTTCACTAAATAGTTAATAATAATAATTTTCCTTTATTACTAATTTGAATAATACTAACTATTCAAATAATGCACTTCGTAAATAAATCTTTAGTTGGTTTAAAAAATTAAGCTTTAATTTACTGCAACACTCTGTATTCTATCACAACAAAAATCGGTATAGTAGGGTTTTAGATAGTCCCGAATAACAATACGGTGCAGTCTAAAAAAAATCGCTAATGTTACTTGTTTTTCTTCCTATAAAACGCGTCTCAGTTGGCCATGACTTATACCACGTAAATACCGAAATTATACATTCTACTCCTTTTTCTGAGATCTATCAAACAAAAAAAGTTTAAACAAATCGGTCAACAAATAACAATTTTACATGGGTGGCTAATGCTTAAGTGGGACACACTGTATGTAAGTATTCGCGTAATAGTTTGGGACATGCAAAAAAGGGCAGTGTCTATTGTTCTACACTAAACGTTTCACATGGGACTTACCATAAATATATAGGTATAGTACGTAACAATAAGTACCAGCAGAAGTTAACGAAATAATAATTTCTAACTCATAAGGAAAGGGATTGTAAAAAATAATTGTTAAGTTGTCGTAAGTGTTTCACGGTTAATCGTCTCCGGTTTAAAAAAAAATACCGTTCAACATTTACCGAGGTCACAGGCGTATATCTAAAATAGTCGAAGTTTTTAATAGATGCTAAGGATCAACTACTTCACATTTTAGTAATCCCACTATCGCCGTCATTGTACAATAACACGTACATGTCTGCCTCTGATCTGAAGCTTGGCATCGATCAATTTATTCGATACGTATCTAGCGGCACCCTAATGCCTGCTCTGGAGGCTTGGCCGGTGAATAATTCAAGCTTTTCGCCAAGGAACGTTGTCGTTTGGTCGAGTGTATGGCACGTGTTTTTATGGCAGTCAGTAGCATTGTGTATCGTGAGCATAAAGCGGCACACGGCTTCACCGTACATTTAGAGTATTTCTACTACTACATTGCCGCTTACTAACATAATATAGATTACCTCCATTTATTGATTTATTTGATTGTCGCCACAAAGTTTCCGATGTCTACTAATCGCCAACTCGTTTTTGATACAAATATGATTTGTCATAAAAAAATGGAATTACTCGATAAAAGGAAAGATACCTCTTAGAATCGACTTTAAATTTCATCCTTGAATCCGTACCTGCTACCTTGAGAATCGGATCCGCTTTGCCCCAGATATTTTTTTGTGGCAAAAAACTTCTCGGGTGGAAATCGCAGCTTATCAGGGTTCGATCTCAATCAAACCCAACTACGACGCGGATTAGGTAAAGTCACACGAGAGCGGTTCTCACGCTACGCGAGCAAGGGAGGCGGGTACTAATTGAGGAGGACGCCCGGCATATTGGTCCTCTTTAATAAAATTACATCGGTGTTTTTTGCTTTGATGTTTTTAGTAAATGTTAATGTCACATGTAGATCCTGGGCGAGGGGAGATAACTTTTACGTGTTTTACCGATGGGAGTTTTTCTTTAGTGACAGGTAGCGAGGATAAGGGAAATGGATTTGAAGGAAAAAGCGGAGCGAGTTTTAAAAAGTTTCCGTTTCGCAATAATTCTGTTGAAAAGGAAGGCAGGGTTAAAAAATTATTAATTTAGTGCCAATTTATACTCGAGTAACGTTTTTATTTTATTTACCCTTAAAAATTTTATCCAGAACATTAGCGTAGACTACCTTTTATTACACCAGTTATATCCGTTGTTTTATGGCATTCGGTTGCCTGAGTTGGCCGTGCAAATGGATTTTTTTAAACAATTGATAGGGATCTGTACAGCCATCCGTTATAGCTTGACAGCGACATGCGAAACTTAACCGTTTTCATTACTTTACCTGACCAAAAATGTACGAACTTCTTAATAAAACGTCAGACACGAACGCGAGTCCAAAAAACATGATCAAATATCGTGTATGTACTAAAATTAGTAGGGGAGGTAAAAGTTCTCATTTGAATAAATAAACGTCACTTACCGACATAAGAAACGAGGTTGAGCATAAAAAATGTCAGTTATAATAAAAACTTGCCGTATTCCGTCTTCTCAACAATTTGACAGACTATAAAAATCTATTTGAGGTAATTGATACACGCGACATTCAGTGGTAGGATACATACAATGTAATGAACCAAAGTCGACGTTTGAACGCGTCTCCTGGTTTTTCCGCTAATTCTAGTGGAGAACCTCGCTGTCATTCTTGCCTTTGATCTGTCTCGACTTCGGCGATTTATATTGTATTTATTACATCTTTGCGACGAAGATAAAATATGGCTTCTAGATATAACTGAAATGCGTCTGCATTTGGCGGTATTCAATTCTGTGTAAAATACGCAACACATTGCTTCTGGTCCAATCTACCTCTGCTTAAAAAATTCCACAATTCCAACATTTCTTTTACTTTTCCAAACTTCTCACTGAATTTTACGTCGTAGTTTTTTAGTAGAATTACCTCGGCGCCTTGTCCTTCCAAACAACCCCTTTTGAATCTTACAGAACATGCTGAGACAAGCGCTGGTTCATTTGAAAGCCTTACGTGCCGCATTAAAATTTCATTGGGCTCCATTAAAACTGAATAAAGTATTTAAGCCTGTAAATAATTAACACCGCGATCTGTACGCGCCACTGCTCAGGGAACCGGAACAAAACGAAGAGTGATTCGAAATTAGCGTCGAAATTAGTCAGGCAGGAACTGCAATGACCCGGAGTTCCCATTTTTCTCTGTGCGACTCGGAGTTTTATTAACGAGGGGTATTAGGACATATATCGAATCCGCTGTTGCGGATTTTACCGTTAATTCTGACGGATTTCACGGACATGGGAAATAAGGGAAACTGATGAAATGATCAGATTACGTAAGAATAGAGTAGCTTGAGGATATCGCAGGATCAGAAGTGGGATAATTTTTTTGGTCTATTGTTAAAATTTAAAATAAATTCGTTCATATTTTTAAAAATCGTAGCAGATATGCAGAAGAAACTGTCGACGAAAGTTTATACAGGGTGTTCCACCTAAGAGGGGTACTGCTGTAACTCTACAACTTTAAAATTTATAAAATGGTTTTAACACACATTTTTTTTTCAAATGGAATGACCCATATTAATTGTCATGCGTAAATGCAAAATTGAATGCCCATTCGACTGATATAAGGTTGTCCATATTTATCTTTAACAGTTTTCCTTTTTAAAATCCGAAAAAGTAGATATGTAACAGCATCAAGAAAGCCTTGCAAAATCACTTTTCACTCACATTTTATCAAGGCTGGAACTGACAGTGTCAATATTTACTGGCATGTTTAAATATGTGGTTTGATAAACAAAAGTAAACCACTAACAACAACTAAAACAAAACTCAAAACGAAACAAACTGAAACTCGGAACACAACAAGGAGAATACTTAGACCGCTGATTTACATCAATTGCTCGAAGTGTCCTCCATTTTGATTAATACACAAACGAATTCGATTTTTAAAAGACTGCTCAACATTGGTCAGCATGTCTGGCGTACTTTCTTGAGATGCTACTGTAATGCGCTGCCTTTTATAAATCCCCATAAAAAGAAGTTGCATCTGGTCATATCTGGACACCTTGAAGGCCAACTCACTGGTCCCTCGCGCCCAATCCATCGGTTGGGAAAAGTTTCGTGTAAAAACTGACGAACCGCAGCGGTATTGTGAGGTGGAGCACCATCATATTGCATCCACATTCTTCGAAATGTAGCTAAAGGAATGTCGCCTAACAAAATCTTTTACTGTTTGTTAAAAAGTTTAAATACACTGCTCCAGTTAGATGCCGTTCAAAAACGAATGGTCCAATGACAAGGGTTCACAAAATTGCTCCCCACACGTTCAAATACCATCGTTAGCTATAAGTTGTCCGGAATTGGTGAGGATTCACTGTGTCATAGTAATAGCAATTATGACTATTAACGAAACCATTTTTATGAAAAGTAGCCTCATCGGAAAACATGACCCGTTTAAAAAAATCATCATCTTGATTTAACATCTCAAGTGCCCACTGACAAAACTCCAGTCTCCGCTGAAAGTCTACTTTTAGTGACTCTTGGTGCAATTGGATGCGATAAGGATGTGCTGTGCTGTGCTTTTGTAAAATCCTTTGTATCGACGTTGTACTAATAATTGCAAGGCCTTCTTGACACTGTTACATGGCTACATTTTCGGACTTTACAAAGGAACCTGATCTTTCTGGAAAACTGTTAGAGATAAGTATGGACAACCTTATATCAATCGAAAGGGCATTCAATTTTGCATTCACCCATGACAATTAATAAGGGTAATTCCATTTGAAAAAAAGTTTTTCAACTCGTATGGTTATTAAATGTAGGTCTCAGTATTTTCGAGTCACACACACAGTACACGTTTTGCTCACAGATGACAAGATAGAGTAATTTATGCCAAAACGAACTGTGAAAACTGCAAGTTCCTAACTCTTACGGTTTCGACGCTATCTAACCTCATTTATAGAGCTGAAATCGTGATTTTTTTTCAAAAATAACTGAATATTTCGAAAACGGTAAGTTTTAAACACCATGTACATTTAATAAACTCTACCTAATATTAACCAAGGAATTCAAAAACGCAATAATACTCAGGGTGTTGCATTTAAAATAACAAAGTTATGTAGCGCCTACGCGAAATGAAACACCCTGTAAAGCTAAAAATATTTTCATTGCATGGCTCACATGATTCCAGACAACAGAGTTAAAGAAAAATCCCTCAGAATTGTTCTGTTTATTTTTACTTTCAAAATTGTGCACTTTCTCATGAAATACACTGTATATATTGGTAAGAAAGAGTGAACTTACATCGACGTGTACGCCATCCAACTCGTAGGAGTGCGACTGCGGCCGGGCCTTCGGCACGAACCTGTAGAACTCCTCGTGCTCCTTGTACCACTTGACGGCGTAGAGGGTGTCGTTGCCCAGGTCATAGTCGCACTGGAGCATGGCGGTCTCTCCCGGTACTCGATATTGCGGCACGTTTACCCGCACCCATTTCAATCCGCTTCCCGGCGACGTCGCCGCTGTGGACAGAGAAACAGAGAGATTAGTTTAGTGAAGCCTTGAAGGAGATTTCCATAGTATGAGCTTAATAATTTTACACAAAAAAAATGCATTGTAAAAAAATGTTATATTGTCGTGGTTGTCCAAACTGAGCAATGGAACTGTCAAAAATAGTAACTAAAACACATTGCGTTTTTCAAAAAATATGGGGATAGTTCTGTCTATAACTCTTTATTGTAATATCACTTATCGCGGTGATACCGTTTCGTATCTATCATTGCCTACTTCGTTAATAAATAATGAGAAAAGTATTAACGAACTTCACAATCATTTGTTCCTGGAATCGATTACTTCCCTTCCCATAAATTTCCTTGAACTGTGCAATTGAGTTTAATATTACCTTCTGAATTAATTATACTTGACAATTGTAGGACTACTACTAATAATACCTAATCTAGTTCATAGTACCTACTTATGATTAGATAAGTATGATTTATTTCCAATAAAAAATAAATCTTACTCGACGTGGCCTAGAAAGCACCCCTTTTATAAACTACCGAAACCAGTTTTTTTTAGTATCTTTATATCATTATATCTCACCGACATCGACAGTCCAAAACAATTTGGTAGGTAGGCATACCGATGAGAATTAACAATTTTGAAACGGCCTGTGTCTGGTGATTTTACTGACGTAAGAGCTTAACGGTTTACTGGATACTGGTGGTGTTATTCAATGTTGGAAGAGATGCTAGTCCGCAAAATAGTTGTATCGCATCATTAGTTACAAATATTATAAAGAAATGTACTACAGGTGCTTCAGAATAATTCTTGGAGTATGACTTTTTCTTTCGTTTGGTTCAATTGTTTTTAATTGAATTTTGCCAGAATCTCCAAAATTAATAAACTATAATTTGGAAGGCAGTTTTTATATGAGTTGTACAGAGCCAATGGGAAGGTCAAAGGTTTTTGCCCTTCTCTTAGCGCTAAACCATTCGTTTCTGTTCTTGGTGTTGACGTGAGACAATATTTTTCCTCACCATATGTATGGATAAAAACAGTCGATATTGTTGATCTAAAGGACGACGAGCCAGCCAAGCAAATGTACCATGGTCGACTGGTCCTAGTCCATAATACTAGCTAATTTCTGGGTTGATTGATTGGATCAGCATGAATTGAAGCTTCAAAAGATCTTCATCAATGTCAAATGGGTTTCTTAAACATGAAGATTGATTCATATCAAAAATCACAAACCAATAGTTCCAATAGTCCAGTTTCAATAGTCCCCAATAGTTTTCCCTCCGTAAACGACAAAATGTTTTCTGCAAGCAATGACTATATGCTTCGTGGTTCGAATACTATTAAGTTAAACAATAGTACGGCGGTAAATAGCTTTGATAAATGTTTGGCAATTCATTTTCAGGGAAGGTCTGAATCCATTAAAGGATTTGGTTATGCAACGTAAAAAAATCGGTGTGAGTGAAAGCGGTAAAGGTTCGAAGTGAATTCATTGAGTACATTTTCACTCAATATTGGGCATTTTGATCATTTTACTCATTTGTGATTATATTTAGACTAAAACTGAGTACTTTCACTCAAATATAGGTACTCCTTAAATAAACTCTTCACGTAAACTCGTAATTGGTGCACTTGTTCCTAAATCAGAGTAAATGTCCTCATTACTGAGCGATTTTAAATGTATATTAATTTTGAGTAATTTGAATGGCGCCGTGAAGATGGCACCACTTACATATTGCTTTTGTAATGTCGAGAACAGGCCTTAACCGGCGGCAGCGGGTCTCAGCTGGCGGATCTCAGCCATTACAGGAGGAGGCCCCGGGAAGTGAATAAATTTCAACACTGTATATCCTAATTAATTATTTATGAGTGATCTATTTTTCCACTCTATATTTAGTTAATTAAAAACCAAGTCTGAGTAAAAAATGACTCAATAATACTTAAATTTAAATCGTATTAGAGAAAAAGTCAACTCTATAGTGATGGGCAAAACGATTCATTTTGATGTTTCGAATCAAATGACTCATTTCAAAGTTGAGAGTCGAAACTGGGAGCCGACTCTTCCGACTCCCAACTCCCATGGTAGATATCGAATCGCTAAGTTCGTAATTCGCATAATCACGGTGGCCCGTATCGGAACGGACGGAAATACCGGAATCTGGGCCGATCTTGAGTTTGACCGATAATTTGAATACACATTTGTTTACTGAAATAACTGACTAAAATTGAAATTAGTTCTTCCACTGCAGTCAAGGTTTACGTACTTAGTTCTTTCACTGAAATTTGTTGTCAAGGGTGTAGTACCTATTTGTATGTAATACAAAAATGCGAATGAATGCGACGATAAGGCATATATTCTCTTCAAACGTTTACAAATACAAACGCAAACCGTTTGCTACCGTTTTTCCCTGTAGATTGCGGCCATTGTTGCCCACAATGTTTACTTCTTGTCAGTATCAAACGACTTGCAAATCACTAAATATCAGTGATCACAGGCACAGCTACACGCCGATCCAAATCGCAAAACGAATCTGACTCACATCTGACTCTCGGCCCTGGTGGTTCAGTTGTACACTATAACGGATTCGACACTCCACACGGAAGTCGGCATAGGTCGATCACGAAACGCTACATATTGAATCATCGGAGTCGACTCTTACATATTTTGGGAGTCGACTCAGATGATCTAAGCCAAGTGTCGACTCTCTGATTCGAAACATACACTCACTAGCCAACACTACAACTCTGAATTGGTTTTATATACTCAGAATAGTCACTCAATTAGTTAGCAGCAACTCGGACTTGAGTAAAGCTCACTCATTTCTAATTCAATAGTTTCACTCAGTTGTACTCATACTAATAGAGTGAAACTTTCACTCAATCGGGTGTGGACAGATATTGACACATTATTGAGTAAAATTGAGTGAAATTTGAGTGAATTTTTTTTACAGTGTATTATCGCTCTTTGCATCAGTTACTATTTTGAAGATTATGATCAAATTATTACATTTTCTTTAGGTGTGATAATGATTTGTTATTGTTGTCTATCTCAAAATAGACTAGAATTTATTAATTATCTTCAGTCAATTTATTTAGGCTTTGTTCCTTGATATCTTAGTATAATAGGTATTTGACATCCTCTTGAAAACAAACTGAATCAACGTCACTTTCAGACATAATTAATTTTTCCCAAACCACCACCCTTCCTCCCTCCCTCATTTCAGTCCCCACGAGGAAATGTCGATGACAGTCCTTCCCTCCCTCCGGCTCCACATCTCTGACGACTGACTGATTACCACGATTTTGGGCCTTATAAATGCTAATATCCGCAGTTAACTCCAAGAAATTCCTCAAGTTTCATTAACCCAGTGATAAAGTGGGTACGGTAGCGTTTGTTTGTTCATTAAATGGTCTCGTAGTTATGATATTTCGCCGGATGTGAGGCGGCCGTTAAAATTAAGGGTCCCCTAATGGCCCGCATTAAGAAAGAAGCATTAAATGAAATTTGTTAAGGGCTAAACAGGGTGTAATGTCGGTAGAGGGGAGGTTAATTGAGCCCGGGACTTTCGGCGCTTGACGGCCCATTACCGGAAATGGGGCAAGTTGGAATGACTTAGTTTGAGTGTACCTATTTGTTCCCTTGCTTCATGGCGACACGTACAGGAGCGCTGGTCATAAATTGGTAAAAAAAGCTGGAAAAGATTGAATTATACATTCTAGTTTCATCAATTTAAGGTTGTTTTCTCAAAACCATACTTTCAATTTAATTGGAAAATAGAGATCAGTAGAGTTATAGGCAGAAGCAAATAACGTATTATGAGAAAGTATTAGAAATGGGAATAGATCATTACCATATATTATGGAAAGCAAAAGTCCCAACACGGAGCCCTGTGGAACTCCCTGATACACATATATTCATAACTTGGATAAAATTAAAAAAATATTAAATAAATAGCTTTAACTGTAGACCTCGCATGCCATAAAAAGGTAATTTGCAATAATAAAGAGGCTGATTTCTCATTTAACCAATGAAAGGTCTTATTCCAGCCTACAATTGATCAAAAATTAAAGAAATTAAAGTACCCAGTTCGTCAAAAACAATAAATTTGTTACAGAGAAGCATTATTTTTTCCTAGAACTTACAACTAATTCCAAAGACACCTCTTTTGCTGTAAAATCCATCTATCCCTATTAGCACAGACAATATAGCTTCGCCCCAGACCGCTATTGGAATAGGACAGTAGTTTTAAATTTCCGAATTGCTGATAGAGTACACCACCAGCAGAATTTTAAGAAGAATCAAATGCAGCGGCTCGCATTCCTACGCGTATCCTAGCAACATATAAACAACACTTTGGCAATGTTGCCAGGCGCACTTACGGATTTATTTTGTACAATTTTTTTGTTTTTTGCGTTACTATATTTACTTAAATGTATGATGTAGGTATTGATAAAAATGTTTTAAAGAATCAACGAATATCAATGTACTTGATATTCTGCAGCGGTGCCACAGGCAGGTTATTTAATCATAATTTCGTTAATTAACTACTATTTTAATTTTTTGGTGATGATATAGTGCAGAAAATATATATTTCAAACAGTTTTTTTGAATATTTGGTGATGATGATAAAATTTATTTAATATACAAGTGGGTTATTAGTACGTCGCGGAATGTAGTTATAGTTTTTTTTTGTATTTTGACATCCACTAAATACAAATGTACGATTTTTCCTTTATTTTTTTGACATCAAAAGCTAGCATAAAATATATATAGTTAAAGTAAAAAAATAATTAAAAAAATTAAAATTCATCCTTATTAAAATAAGAAACAACGATTTTTATAACTAACCTTTACACCTTTACAACAACGTAAGGAGAATGCCTAAAAACGAAATAACATTAAAATACCCACAATTTTTACAAATTTTAAACATGCAAGTAATTGTGATGATACAGTTGAAGATATGCTTTAATTTACTATTTATTGCTTTAAAAACAAATTCAGAATTATCAAACATTTCGTCCTGTATTTTTTCTTTCAATACTTGTAAATTTTGAGGTCTTTATTTTATTGAAGTGTCCCCATAAAAATATGTCTAATGGACTGAGATCGGGGCTGTTTTCTGGCCACCTAAAGTTTCTAATAATATTTTTTACAGTGTTCGTTAACAGGATTCGTCCTCCAAAATAAATTTGCCGATATTCCTGAAGAACTTTTGCACATTATTGTTATTTGAATAACACAGTTTAATTATGTTTTATATTCTGATAATGATAAATCTCATGTATTTTTAAAAGAAGGTACGTTTCTGTCATTTTTGTCCGATTGTGTGCGAGAGAGATAGAGTTATAGTGTGCGATAGAGACAGAATGAGTTTGTCCTCAGAGGGCTTTTCTCTTTCTGTCTCTCTCTCTCTGCTGTCTTCAGGAGTCTCTGGAGCTTCCCCAGCATCTTCAGGACAACTAGGGAGGGAACGTGCGATAGAGCGCGTGAACTTTTTAGCCTTCATCATCGAGTTATGACGTCACAACGTATGAGGAAAAAAAAACGGTTTTTGCTCTAACTCGAAAATGACTGGAAATAAAATATAAATAAGTCTCCCTTTGGTTCTGAGTAGAGTACTCGGTAGCCGAGGCAGAGCGGGGTGTCACAATATATGAAAAAAAAAAACAGTATTTGCTTGTACCTCGGAAATGACTCAAATTATCAAAAAATCTCCCATGGTTCTGACTGGTGATCGTCCGAAGTCCGTATGTCGAAAAAAAAATCGGGACCAACGGTGTGTGACATCATAGAATAAAAAAGTGTTTATAACTCGGAGACGCACTGCGTTGAATCGAAAAAATAATTTAAAAAATCTCCCCACATCCCTGGCTCTAATTATCCCTTCTGCATTGAAGGCAAAAGGTCCGAAGTCCGTATGTTGAAAATAAATTTCGGAAACAAGTGTGTGAGGTGATACAGTAAAAAAAGGTCTTATAACTCAGAAATGGTGCGTTGAAACGAAAAAATAATTTAAAAAATCTCCCTTACACCCCTGGTTTTGATTGTCCGTTCTGCGTTGAATGCAAAAGGTCCGAGGACCGTCTGTCGAAAAACAAAAAAGTTGGTCAATAATTGCAACAGCAGTAGCGAACGCATTATCTTATAGGTATCTCATTGATTGATAATTTGTTTTTTTTTAAATAAATTTCATATCAACCATCCCTTGCGGTTCCAATAATTTTATTAAATAAAAAATTAAGGTACTATTCTTAAAGAAATATTTAGGAATAGCTTTAATTCTAACTTGATTTATTTTATTTAGCATTTATCACAATGTGATTTCCAAACAAAAGATAAGTTCCATATCTCTTTAATTACATAATTGAATGCATCGAATTTATTTGGCAATTATCATTTGGCAACAAAGCCACCGCTAGAACTGCTAAAAGAGTTACCACACTAAATTTTATTGATGGATGCGGGCTAACAACACCCCGCATCATTTTTAGGTTGCCAATTTCCAGCATTTAAAGCGCGGTCTGAAGCGATAAGCTATATTGTCTGTGCTATTAGTTTGCCTCGTTCGTGTTTAATGAGATAAGATCGGGTCGTCACAACAATTCTGAACAACTTACAAAGCGTATGTGTGTTATGACGATCATTGCCACAACACGTTATACAGTTTAGAGACAAAGCCCTGTTGATATTAATATTCAGCAGTATCTCGTATTCAAATAATTTCCACTGTGCTTATATTTATAACAAACAAAACCAAATCAGTATTTGCTAATGCTGTGTGACATGTATCGAATTTATAAAAGTAAACACGATATTGCCGCACAAACCACTTCTCTAGCTGTAAAACTTTTCTACTATTAACTTTCGCGATAAACTTTTCAAATTTAACCGCTGCATAGGTGGTAATTAAATTTCATGTAAACTCCCGAATGGAAAACTTCCCCCTCCGGTGTATGGAGCGGAATAAGCTGTACAATGTCGCTAATGCTGGCAGCAAAACAGATTTGAGAACCTAGCCAACAGACTGCTAATTATTGCCTTTGTGAAAGCGACCCGCTGTGCGTCTGTTGCCAGTGGTTCTGAATACGTCATTAATCCGATTATATCGCTTTTTATGTTTGCTTCATGGGCCGCATATACAGAGTGGTTCAGTCACAATGTCTTTAATTTTAACCACGTGTTCGGAAAATCTAATAAGAACAGAGTTCGAACGTTGAAGCGAAACAGCTGCTTTCCCAGTCGTCTGAAATTTGCATTTGTTTTCAAAATCAAAGTGCAGTAGATCCCAACTTTATGAACAAAGTGCTACGGACGGATGAGAGTTGTTTTAGCCGTACTGGCATTTTAAATAGGTAGGTACCATACTACTCTATAAAAAACAATAAGTCACTAGGTATGCGTACTACAAACTGAATAATTAATTGAACAGAATACTAAAAACTGATACTCAATTATAAAACATAGTGAAAACGTTAACAATATTAAAAATACTAAATTGTTATAACTGAACATTCGAGAACAATTATAACCTTTATACATTTGTTTTTATTAACAAATAAATACCAACACAAATGCTGTCTTGTTTCACCACAACACAAATGTTTCATCATAATACAGATGTTTTCTTGCTTCACCAGAAATTAAAACGATATCCATCAACTCCGAGTTGTTGTACACGCAAGCCACTTTTGACTTTAACTACTAAAAAACTATTGTAAACACTATGGCAACGATGACTGTAAAATCGGATTTCAGTATTCGGAGTCGCTGAGGCCACGTGGCTTTCCACGCGTATTATAAATGACGCTAGAGACTACAGTACTACAACTTCAATAATTTTTTACTCGAAAACTATAAGGATTTTACAAACAAATTTTTACGATATTGACTCCATTTCTCATGCCGCATCTATTCCCAAATTTTTTTGGATAAGTTGTGAATATGTTTTGTACTCATTTAAATAACTCTGTATATAAAAATCAGCTGTTCCAGTAGGTCAAAAGTGAGGTCCACCACTTCCTATCCAACGATTTGAATATGCCACATCTTCCAGAAGTACTGGAAGCATTTCTTCAAGAAAGTGGGTATAGGTACTTCCATCCAATCTACATGAAAGAAATTGTGGAATGATGAGGCTAAGGAGTCTGGATTTTTTTCTACCCATATGGCTTCGTTTGTAAATAAGATATGCGCCAAAAACTTTTGTTCAGTCTCTTCCAGAAACCAATGAGAAAATTGCAAAATGAAGCGAGAAATATCGTGGTAAACAAGACTGGAGTTGTTGTATGTCAAAGAATCTAAAAGTTGTTCTTTTAAGATAGCCAATACCCATACGTAGTTGATATTTAACTAGAAAGCAACTTTTCTAGTGCTGGTGTCCGGTGCTTCATCAATCAACTTCAGTACTTCTTTTTCCAAACCCATCTAATTTTGTGCCGAACAATTGCAAGTTATTTTCTTGAAAGTTGCAGTCATAAAATTCAGTCATAACCTAATTATTTGCACCCTCTATAGTTCTAATATTTTTTAGCTAAGCTTCCGCTGTTAAATGCCACCCTCTCGAGCAAAAATACAGTCGATTTTCCACCTACTTTTCTTGTATTAGAAAAACAAATTTTCTTTAAACCTTTACTCTATACGATAAATCCAGTCTAAAGTACCTTCCCAACGTCAACAAAAGCATGGTAAACTCCCTTGTTTGAACACCTGACTTGAATTTATTCAACGGGAGGCATTTCCCTGGACCGCTCCAACCTTCGCAAAACAAACAAACAAATTAACTCAGGTTCCTGTCAAATTATTTAATGGCTCCCGGAGCACCAACTTTGGTAATTCAATTATCCACCGCAGGGCGGCGCCTTGAATAAAGATATCTTTCGGAGTAGACGTAAATTGTGCACGCACCTTTTCCAACGGAGTTCAGCATAAAAAAAGGTATTTTTCTATATGGTACACTTCTTATAGTGATAAATTGATGTATTTTTTTTGTAGTGTTGTTTTATGAACAGATATCGGAAACTTTGTGGCGACTATCAAATAAATACACAGTAGCAATCTATATTGTTAGTAAGCGGCAATATGCGTTGTAGTAGCAGAAATAGTAGATAGTAGAGATAGAAAAGTAAATTTTCGGTTGCTTCCCATAAATTATGAGCATATTATAATATTCACGATTGCTAAATAAATGCACCATTTTCAAAATAAAACTTGGAAATACGGCTATTAAATGTACTCTCGAAAAACATCACAGCAATCACTATAACAATGTATTACAAACTGACTTTCGAATACAGTACGGCTTTATAAGAAACCTACAAAATCGTAAATAGTGTTACATAATTCTTTGTAAGTACTCGCCGCGACAAAATACATGTATTTCAGCAGTTCCAAAACAGTTTTAAACCATTTTTTAATTAGCTTTTTTCTCTATGACCTTAAACTCCCGATACAAGTTTATGACATCAGTTAACTCAGTTTTTGCTCCTTTTTCATCACCCCTTTAAATTTTTGACACAACTTCATTAACTCCCTGTATATGAATATAGTTTTTGTTTGTTATTTTTTTTACCGTATTATGATAAGATAATTGACTGATAGGATTTATTGGAGGGATGGAGGGAACACAAATTCTTAATTTAAAAACGCCTACTTACCGCTGGCAAATCCGATTAGCACCAGGTAGCACAAAAGCTGCGTAAAAGAAGCTCCCATTCCGCGACTCGAACTCCTCGTCATTCAAAACGTGCACATAGGTTCACTATTGTCCCCGACGGCCTTTTGTTCTCGGGCACAATTAAATTTTCCAGCCAGGGAACCCCAAACGACGCGAGTGTTTTTCAGGTTTTAATTATTGCAGTTTTTCTTCCTATTTGCAAGAATTACTGTTTGAAGGGTATGTGGGATTGTGACGCTGGCTGTTCAAAGAGACTTTTGTTGCGTTACTACCGGTTTTTCTTGCTCTTTATGCGCTCGGGGCCTTTGTTAGGGAATCTGGAAAAGAGAGAGAATTTTTTTTACTGTTTTATTCGCAAATGCGTGCGCGACTGGCAAAGGGGATGTTCTCACAATGGGTTCTGTTGCTAGCGCTAATTTGCCGATGAATAGCTGTTGCATTAGTAAAAGTACGCGTGCACGCCCACTCCGATGTTCCACACAATGTATACACAACAATGGGGATTTTCTGTATGGAGTACAGGAAGTGGTGCAATTTGTTTTGTAAATAGATTATATCTGTAAATGGAACAATACGATGTTTATGTACCTCACGGATCTTTATGAAAGTTTGTGCGGTACACAGGGCGGTGGGCGGTTTTTACGCCGTGTCATAATCAAGAAGCCTTGGTGAAGTAATCTGCAACCACTGGTTTTACAACCACCATTTTTCAACTAAATGTACAGATTGCGCCCTTGAAAAGTTTTGAATCATCGGCGAACAATTAGTGTGAAATATAGATCATTAATAAATAAAATAAAAGAAGTGGCCCAAGGTTGGATCCTTGAGGTACACCAGACGTAGCTAAGGAAGTGTTAGATTTAAAATTGCAACGTCGTTTTATAGACAATTTTATAGTTATCAATTTAAGTTTTATGTGATCTACCGAGGAAAATTGTAGTACACTGTAAAAAAATTTCACTCTTTCTCTCAATTTCACTCAATTAATTCCTGTACAAACTCGATTGAGTGAAATTTTCACTTTATTTGTATGAGTAGAACTGAATGAAACTATTGCATCAGAAATGAGTGAGTTTTACTCAAATCCAAGTTACTGATAACTTATCAATTGAGCGACTTTTGACTATTCTGAGTATATAAAAACAATTTAGAGTTGACTTTTTCTCTAATATGATTTAAATTTAACTATCATTGAGTCATTTTTGACTGAGACTTGGTTTTTAATTAACTAAATATCGAGTGCAAAAATAAATCACTCATAAATGATTAATTAGGATATACAGTGTTGAAATTAATTCACTTCGCGGGGCCTCCTCCTGTCCTGGCTGAGACCCGCCGGCTGAGATCCGCCAGCTGATACTCACCACCGCCGGCACCGGCTAAGGCCTGTTCTCCTAGCGATCACGCTTTTGTGGAGAATCTAACGGGCCCCTATCAACTGTGATCGAGATTACAGAAGCAATATGTAAGTGGTGCCATCTTCACGGCGCCTTTCAAATTACTCGAAATAAATATACATTTAAACTCAGTCAGTAATGCGGACATCTGCTCTGATTTAGGTACAACTGCACCAAATACGAGTTTACGTGAAAAATGTATTTAAGGAGTACCTATATTTGAGTGAAAGTGCTCAGATTTAGTTTAAATATAATCACAAATAAGCAAAATGATGAAAATGCCCAATATTGAGTGAAAATAATTTCACTTTACCGAATTTTTATTGCTTTCACTCACACCGATTTTTTTACAGTGTACTTATAATTTTATAGGCGAGCGGTTCACCCCTATAAAAAGGCATAAACCGACTAAATTTTTAAAACAAAAACCTACAGCATGGAACTCTTTTATTTTATAGTGTATTTTTCTGATAATTTACATATATTTTTTATATTTTTCGGGGTGGCCAGTCAATTGTTATAAACAAAAAAGTTGTACAAAAAATTACTCACCCGATTTTTTTTGTAAAATGGACCAAAATAAACACTTTTTGTTCTTTAACAAAAATTCGAAAAATGCTATGGTACTGAACAGATTTTAATTCTAAAAAAGCATAATAATCGGCAGATTTTCTACTTTAAGATATATTTTTTTGGTATGGGTCAATCATCTTATTAAAGGTCTAAAGCCAGTAAAAAAAGTCTTTTAAAGAAAATTATGATAACACTTCAAATTTAAATTTTCTTTTTACAATATCTTGGATTAGATGTGAACAGTACAAATGTTCAAAAGATCATTTTGTTTGGTTTTGTAGCCGGAGTAAGGTTTTTGTAAGTAATCAGTAAAATTTAAATATTCGATTTTTGGTTTTATAAATGGCTAAAATTGACTTGAAAGTTATACCAAAACTAAACTAAATAAGCTTTTTAAATCGTAAAATTAACAGAATAATAATAATTGACCTAGCGGTCTCGAAAAATAAAAAAGTTATTGGATAATTTATTGTATAGGATAATTATTTTATTTTTATTTTACAAAAATATTAAAAGCAATAAAAGTACATTAATTGCTTTTTTATTTAATTTTTAAATAAGTTTTTCATTTTTTCGACAAGTTCTTGAGTTGAAATAAGCGTTTCATTATCAATTTCGGATGGAATATTATGACATTCATCTGAGCACGCACAGACTGCACAGCATTCCAGGTTCGATGACAAACAGTTACAATTTTTCGTAGAACATTTTCCACTACATGAACAAACATTTTTGAAGCATATCTAATGCAGTTTCTCCTTCGAAATAATTAAAAGTTACAATTTCACTATTTGTACTGTTTTTTTACTCGCTTTTGACCTTGAATAAAATAATTGACCTATACCAAAAAAACATATCTTAAAGTAGAAGATCTGCCGATTATTATGCTTTTTTAGAATTAAACTCTGTTCAGTAGTTTTTGAGGAAAAAATTCCGAAAGTTTGTCGATTTCGTCACTTTTTTCACATTAAATTGTAAATCATTTTTCGAATTTTTGTCAAAAAACAAGAAGTGTTTATTTTGGTCCATTTTACAATAAAAAATTGTTTTCAAAGCCATTCGGCGAGTAATTTTTTTTACAACTTTTTTGTTTATTGACAATTGACAATTGACTGACCACGCCGAAAAATATAAAAAAAATATGTAAATTATCGGAAAAATACACCATAAAATAAAAAGTTTCTTGCTGTAGGTTTTTTGTTTTAAAAATTTAGGGGCGAACCGCTCGCCTATTAAGAAAACTGCTAGGACTTTTAACACTTACAAAATTGTCGGTTCAAGCTCAGCTTCATAATAAATGTAACAATATGACTCACAGCGTATAGAACAATGTCTGCCACCCCAACAAGCGTGCCTATCGGAAACAGCCTACTATAATGATTACACATCTAAATTAGGTAACGGGAGCTGTCAGATCCATCGCTTCAGAAATATTAATAAACCAGTAGTGTATGGGGAAGAAGAACGGCGGCTGAGCAGTGAACAGATACACTGAATCAGGTCGCGTCTTGGCGAGGGAAGGGCAAAAGGCAAGCATCAACCTTGGGTCGAGTTAGGGTTAAACGCGGGGCGCCAAATATGAGAAACTATCTCCTCCGGGGTGATATAGGAGTTTCGGGCTTAACCCCGCGATAATTCCGCTTCCTTCGGGAGGAACAGGAAGCTAAATGAGTTAAGTTGCGAACGTAACAGTTAATATTAACGCCCGTGACAGGTTTGTCATTAGATTTGCGGCATCTATGTGCGACTGAAAAAACTGTCGCGACATACGGTCGATATCGAAAGAGTCATAATGAAATAATTGCAGATTTAAAAAAAATAAATTTGGGGTATTTAAGAAGAATAATAGTTAATAAAATGCATCTTCTGGGTATCTTCGACCAATACCTATTACAGTGGTTTTCATAGTCTTCTTATTACTGTGGTTTATTGTTTACATTAGTCTTACAAATGTTCAAAATAGCCAAAATTAACGGATTTTGTTACAAATTTTTTAAACAAATCTGTAGAAAAACGTCAACCGTTATTATATCTACAGGCTGTATGACAAACTTTCACAAATGGTAGCTAGGTTGATATTATACAGGGTTAGTCAAAAGTATGGAAACCCCCAAAAATCTCAGCGGTAAAGCGTTTTTGGGATAAATTGAGAGAATAAAAGTCTCAGCATTTTTCACGGCGCATACAATGGTATCCTTGACCTTGAGGTCAAGGTCAAGGTTCAAGGCCATATCAAGATCAAGATGGTTTTTTTAAATAGCGTCCGTCGAATGTTTGGAATTTTCTTTATTTTTAACTACAGAATCAGAGGGAGTGACAGTCTTTGACCTGATGGTACTCCTTAGTGACCTTGATGTTGAGGTCACTTAGAAATTGTCCCTTCTATTCCATAGTCGAAAATAAAAAATGGGAGCCGGAATAATCACTTGACCTCTACCTAACCTTGAAGGTCACGTTTAAGATCATAATAACTAGTAGAATTCTACGCTCTCTTATTTCTAGCGTCGAAATATGGGGTCGTTACTCCAAAAACCGATATGACCTTGACATGTTCTTTCCACCTTGACCTTAAGATCAAGGTCACTAAGGGGTACCATCAGGTATCCACTCAAAGACTGTCACTCCTTCTGATTCCGTAGTTAAAAATTAAAAAATACGGTGTAAAACAAATTTGGCCTTGAACTGACCTTGGCTATTGACCTTGATTGGTCACGGTCAATTTCGTATTTGGATGCAGAATTTTATGCTCTTTCTATTTCCGGAGTCAAAAAGGAGGGTCGCCATTTTAAAAAACCGACTTGATCCTGACATGACCTTGAACCTCAAAGTCAAGGTTACCATCGGATACGCCATGAAAAATGCTGAGACTTTTGTCCTCACCATTTAACCAAAAAATGTTTTCCCGTTGAGATTTTTGGAGGTGTCCATATTTTTGACCAACCCTGTATAAATATAGGTCCGGTTCATTTTTATTTAGAAGTTACAAGCACTTTAAAAAACATAATTTCATATTTCACTCAAAGTAGCCTGATAAATAAAAATGATGGTTTCTATAATAATTATTATTTCTTGTGTTTAATATTTAAACATTAGTTAACCTGTCCAAATCAACAAATCTTAAAACTATAAAAATTGTTCAGAATGTCCACCCTCGGCTCGATTGCAATCCTCACATCGACGAACTAAAGATTCCGTCATTCAATGCGATGATATTTGGATTATTTCTTATCTGGTTAGCTGCATTCTGAATTCTTTTAATTTGGGACATTGGGTACATTGGTATTGCTCCCCTTTGAAAAGTGGTGGAAAATAGCTTTTAATGGACTGACGGCAGAGTTTGAAAGCTC